TATACACTCTGAGTAAGAGAGAGAGGGAGGGAGAGAATTTTAATTTTATTGTCTTTTTCACATATTATCACATATTGAAAGTGATGAAAAGACATTGCCATATGAAGATATTAGCATTTTTTGTTGTGAAATCCTGCTTCAACAGTTTCTCTGTAGCTGATATGAATGAAAAGCACTTTGCTCAAAGACATTTTAGCCTGGTTGATGCATGTGAACAGTTGCACAGACTAAGGGATAACTTAACCTGAATGAGATTGTGGAAAAACTTAGCCTGAAGACACTGAACAAAAAATGTCAGTGAGATGTTAAGAAACAGGTGAAATTGGTCAGACAGGGTTTTAGTTTAAGCATTAAGCATTCTGACAGGTTGGGGTAGTTTCTTTTTGCTTTTATGTTGCATTGGTTTTAAGAGACTGAAGTTAGGTCTTGTGAGGGGAAATGGACATGAAAATGTTGTATAGTATGCTGAAACAGATGAGTTTCACTGAAGTACAGGTTGCTTTTTATCATAATTTCAAAGTATAAAATGTATATGGTTCAGGATATGGATTATTATGAAGGGGACACATACTGTAAAACAACCATGAAAAACAAAAAAGACAGAAATAAACCAAAACAAAAAATCTGGTTACCATTTGAATAAAAGGCATTGTATTGCTCCTGAAGAACAGGTTGGTACCTATACATGGCAGCCTTTGATATCAGTGTGTGAATTAATGAATGTCACAAGTGTTGTGAAGCCATAATGGTCAGTAGAGAAGAAAAGGCGTTGTTTAGATACTAGTATACCATGGCTGTGAACACTATTTTGTCTTTTTAAGATTTTTTGATGCATTGCATACTGTTGCGCAAACCACTTCGACATGCCAGTTCTATGTGTAAGTCTCTGTATTGTTTTATTTTATAGATTCAAAGGAAGACAAGATGGGTGGTAGACGGATCATATCAATTTTCCTGATGATTGGTAAGCTGAGTGATGTTAAACCGACTTTTAAAGTGTCTTAATAAAAAGTAATGGTTAAGGTGTAGGGAAAAAGAAACATAGTTAAGGGGAAGATTTCTTTCATCCATCTATAATTTCTTAGAGAGCTAATTTAGTATCACTCATGATGAGATGATGAAGACGAAAGGTAAGTTGAACTTTTAACTGCTGTTTCTAGTTTTTTTTTTGTAATAATTTGAAAGTATTGTTTATCACGTGCTGTGAAGCCAAGGGTTTGTACATTTTGTGCTTAAAGTTTGACATAATTTCACAGATTACTGCACGTAAAAACGATAATTATGAGAAGTCAAGTAATAAGGAATGAAGACGTTTGAAAGTCAGTTTTTGCTTCCTTCTCAGTAGTCACGGTCGATTTGACAAAAACTGTCATAACAACAACTGCTCCTGGTACAAACACGGTAACAGCAACAACACCTGCCCCAACCATAACCACAGCTGCAACAACAACAGCTGCTCCAACCAAAAAAACTGCAACAACAACACCTGCTCTGACTACAACCACTGCTGCAACAACGACAGCTGCTCCAACTACAACCACTGCTGCAACTACAAGACCAGCTCCAACCACAACCACTGCTGCAACTACAACAGCTGCTCCAACTACAACCACTGCTGCAACAACTACAGCTGCTCCAACTACAACCACTGCTGCAACTACAACAACTGCTCTGACCACAACCACTGCTGCAACAATGAAAGCTGCTCCAACTACAACCACTGCAGCAACAACAACTGCTGCTCAAACCACAACCGCTGCTGCAACATCAACGGTAGCAACCACAACAGCTAGTCCAACGACAACCACTGCTGCAACAACGACAGCTGCTCCAACTACAACAAATAGAAAAAACGAAAACACAAAAACAAAAACAAACACTCCTAAAAACTACAAAACCTGCTCCGACCACAACCACTGCTGCAACAACGACAGCTGCTCCAACTACAACAACGGCAGCAACGGCAACAGCTGCTCCAACCACAACCACTGCTGCAACAACAACACCTGCTCCGACTACAACAACGGTAGCAACCACAACAGCTAGTCCAACGACAACCACTGCTGCAACAACGACAGCTGCTCCGACGACAACAACGGCTGCAACGACAACTGCTGCTCCAACCACAACAACAGTAGCAACTACAACAGCAGCTCCAACCACAACCACTGCAGCAACAACGACAGCTGCTCCCACTACAACAACGGCAGCAACGACAGCAGCATCTCCAACCACAACCACTGCAGCAACAACGACAGCTGCTCCAACTACAACCACTGCTGCAACTACAACAGCTGCTCCAACTACAACCACTGCTGCAACAACTACAGCTACTCCAATTACAACCACTTCTGCAACAACAACTACTGCTCTGACTACAACAACGGCAGCAACGACAACTGCTGCTCCAACCACAACCACTGCTGTAACAACGACAGCTGCACCAACTGCAACAACAGTAGCAACTACAACACCTGCTGTGACTACAACCACTGCTGCAACAACGACAGCTGCTCCAACTACAACCACTGCTGCAACTACAACACCTGCTCCGACCACAACCACTGCTGCAACTACAACCACTGCTGTAACAACTACAGATGCTCCAACTACAACCACTGCTACAACTACAACACCTGCTCCAACTACAACAACGGTAGCAACCACAACAGCTAGTCCAACGACAACCACTGCTGCCACAACAACAACTGCCCCGACTACAACAATGGCAGCAACGACAACCGCTGCTCCAACCACAACCAGTGCTGCAACAACAACGGTAGCAACCACAACAGCTAATCCAACGACAACCACTGCTGCAACAACGACAGCTGCTCCAACTACAACAACGGCAGCAACGACAACAGCAGCTCCAACCACAACCACTGCAGCAACAACGACAGCTGCTCCAACTACAACCACTGCTGCAACTACAACAGCTGCTCCAACTACAACCACTGCTGCAACAACGACAGCTGCTCCAACTACAACCACTGCTGCAACTACAACAGCCGCTCCACCTACAACCACTGCTGCAACAACTACAGCTGCTCCAACTACAACCACTTCTGCAACAAAAGCTGCTCTGACTACAACAACGACAGCAACGACAACTGCTGCTCCAACCACAACCACTGCTGCAACAACGACAGCTGCTCCAACTACAACCACTGCTGCAACTACAACACCTGCTCTGACTACAACCACTGCTGCAATAACGACAGCTGCTCCAACTACAACCACTGCTGCAACTACAACACCTGCTCTGACCACAACCACTGCTGCAACTACAACAGCTGCTCCAACTACAACCAATGCTGCAACCACTACAGCTGCTCCAACTACAACCACTGCTGCAACAACAACAGCTGCTCCGACTACAACAACGGCAGCAACGACAACAGCAGCTCCAACCACAACCACTGCAGCAACAACGACAGCTGCTCCAACTACAACCACTGCTGCAACAACGACAGCTGCCCCAACTACAACAATGGCAGCAACGACAACCGCTGCTCCAACCACAACCACTGCTGCAACAACAACGGCAGCAACCACAACAGCTAGTCCAACGACAACCACTGCTGCAACAACGACAGCTGCTCCAACTACAACAACGGAAGCAACGACAACAGTAACTCCAACCACAACCACTGCAGCAACAAAGACAGCTGCTCCAACTACAACCACTTCTGCAACAACAACAGCTGCTCTGACTACAACAACGGCAGCAACGACAACTGCTGCTCCAACCACAACCACTGATGCAACAACGACAGCTGCTCCAACTACAACAACAGTAGCAACTACAACACCTGCTCTGATTACAACCACTGCAGCAACAACGACAGCTGCTCCAACTACAACCACTGCTGCAACTACAACAGCTGCTCCAACTACAACCACTGCTGCAACAACTACAGCTGCTCCAACTACAACCACTTCTGCAACAACAACTGCTCTGACTACAACAACGGCAGCAACGACAACTGCTGCTCAAACCACAACCACTGCTGCAACAACGACAGCTGCTCCAACTACAACCACTGCTGCAACTACAACACCTCCACCACAACCACTGCTGCAACTACAACCACTGCTGCAACTACAACAACTGCTGCAACAACAACAGCTAGTCCAACTACAACCACTGCTGCAACAACGACAGCTGCTCCAACTACAACAGGCGGCTCCAACTACAACCACTGCTGCAACTACAACAGCTGCTCCAACTACAACCACTGCTGCAACAACTACAGCTGCTCCAACTACAACCACTTCTGCAACAACAACTGCTCTGACTACAACAACGGTAGCAACCACAACTGCTGCTCAAACCACAACCACTGCTGCAACAACGACAGCTGCTCCAACTACAACCACTGCTGCAACTACAACACCTGCTCCGACCACAACCACTGCTGCGACAACAACACCTGCTCCAACTACAACAACGGTAGCAACCACAACAGCTAGTCCAACGACAACCACTGCTGCAACAACGACAGCTGCTCCAACAACAACAACAGCAGCAACTACAACTGTTGCTCCAACCACAACTACTGCTGCAACCACTACAGCTGCTCCAACTACAACCACTGCTGCAACAACAACAGCTGCTCCAACCACAACCACAGCTGCAACAACAAGGGTCGCAACCACAACAGCGAGTCCAACGACAACCACTGCTGCAACAACGACAGCTGCTCCAACTACAACAACGGCAGCAACGACAACAGCAGCTCCAACCACAACCACTGCTGCAACAACGCCAGCTGCTCCAACTACAACCACTGCTGCAACTACAACAGCTGCTCCAACTACGACCACTGCTGCAACAACTACGGCTGCTCCAACTACAACCACTTCTGCAACAACAACAGCTGCTCTGACTACAACAACAGCAGCAACGACAACTGCTGCTCCAACCACAACCACTGCTGCAACAACGACAGCTGCTCCAACTACAACAACAGTAGCAACTACAACACCTGCTCTGACTACAACCACTGCGGCAACAATGACAGCTGCTCCAAGTACAACAACAGCAGCAACGACAACTGTTGCTCCAACCACAACTACTGCTGCAACAACGACAGCTGCTCCAACTACAACAACAGTAGCAACAACAACACCTGCTCTGACTACAACCACTGCTGCAACAACGACAGCTGCTCCAACTACAACCACTGCTGCAACTACAACAGCTGCTCGGACCACAACCACTGCTGCAACTACAACAGCTGCTCCAACTACAACCACTGCTGCAACAACTACAGCTGCTCCAACTACAACCACTGCTGCAACGACAACAGCTGCTCCAACCACAACCACTGCTGCAACAACAACGGTAGCAACCACAACAGCTAGTCCAACGACAACCACTGCTGCAACAACGACAGCTGCTCCAACTACAACAACGGCAGCAACGACAACAGCAGCTCCAACCACAACCACTGCTGCAACAACAACGGCAGCAACCACAAAAGCTAGTCCAACGACAACCACTGCTGCAACAACGACAGCTGCTCCAACTACAACAACGGCAGCAACGACAACAGCAGCTCCAACCACAACCACTGCAGCAATAACTACAGCTGCTCCAACTACAACCACTTCTGCAACAACAACTGCTCTGACTACAACAACGGCAGCAACGACAACTGCTGCTCCAACCACAACCACTGCTGCAACAACGACAGCTGCTCCAACTACAACAACAGTAGCAACTACAACACCTGCTCTGACTACAACCACTGCTGCAACAACGACAGCTGCTCCAACTACAACCACTGCTGCAACTACAACACCTGCTCCAACTACAACCACTGCTGCAACTACAACAGCTAGTCCAACGACAACCACTGCTGCAACAACGACAGCTGCTCCAACTACAACAACGGCAGCAACGACAACAGCAGCTCCAACCACAACCACTGCAGCACAACAACACCTTCTCCGACTACAACAACGGCAGCAACGACAACAGTTGCTCCAACTAACCACTGCTGCAACAACTCGCTGCTCCAACTGCAACCACTGCTGCAACTACAACAGCTGCTCCGACTACAACAACGGCAGCACGCAACGCTACTCCACCCAACCACTGCTGCACAGAACACCTACTCCACTACAACCACTGTGCAACTACAACAGCTGCTCCAACTACAACCACTGCTGCAACAACAACAGCTGCTCCGACTACAACAACGGCAGCAACGACAACTGTTGCTCCAACCACAACCACTACTGCAACAACGACAGCTGCTCCAACTACAACAACAGTAGCAACTACAACACCTGCTCTGACTACAACCACTGCTGCAACAACGACAGCTGCTCCAACTACAACCACTGCTGCAACTACAACAGCTGCTCCGACCACAACCACTGCTGCAACTACAACAGCTGTCCAACTACAACCACTGCTGCAACAACTACAGCTGCTCCAGCTACAACCACTTCTGCAACAACAACAGCTGCTCTGACTACAACAACGGCAGCAACGACAACTGCTGCTCCAACCACAACCACTGATGCAACAACGACAGTCTCAACCTGCTCCTACAACCACTGGGCAACAACGACAGCTTCTACAACCACTCTGCAACTACAACACCTGCTCTGACTACAACCACTGCGGCAACAACGACAGCTGCTCAGACAAACTTCTGCAACAACAACTGCTGCAACTACAACAACGAGAGACAACTGCTGCTCCAACCACAACCACTGCTCAACAACGACAGCTGCTGCAACTACAACAAGCACTCGTACAACTGCTGCAACAACGACAGCTGCTCCAACTAAATACCACAACCACTGCTGCAACAACAACAGCTGCTTACTGCTCCACTACAACCACTGCTGCAACAACAACAGCTGCTGACTACAACCACTGCTGCAACAACGACAGCTGCTCCAACTACAACCACTGCTCCAACTACAACACCTGCTCCGACCACAACCACTGCTGAGCCAACAACACCTGCTCCAACTACAACAACGGTAGCAACCACAACAGCTAGTCCAACGACAACCACTGCTGCAACAACGACAGCTGCTCCAACTACAACAACGGCAGCAACGACAACAGCAGCTCCAACTACAACCACTTCTGCAACAACAACAGCTGCTCTGACTACAACAACGGCAGCAACGACAACTGCTGCTCCAACCACAACCACTGATGCAACAACGACAGCTGCTCCAACTACAACAACAGTAGCAACTACAACACCTGCTCTGACTACAACCACTGCGGCAACAACGACAGCTGCTCCAACTACAACCACTGCTGCAACTACAACAGCTGCTCCAACTACAACCACTGCTGCAACAACTACAGCTGCTCAGACTACAACCACTTCTGCAACAACAACTGCTCTGACTACAACAACGGCAGCAACGACAACTGCTGCTCCAACCACAACCACTGCTGCAACAACGACAGCTGCTCCAACTACAACAACAGTAGCAACTACAACACCTGCTCTGACTACAACCACTGCTGCAACAACGACAGCTGCTCCAACTACAACCACTGCTGCAACTACAACACCTGCTCTGACTACAACCACTGCTGCAACTAACGACAGCTGCTCCAACTACAACCACTGCTCCAACTCAACAACAACACCTGCTCCGACTACAACCACTGCTGCAACAAGAGCTGCCACTACAACCACTGCTGCAACTACAACACCTGCTCCAACTACAACAACGGTAGCAACCACAACAGCTAGTCCAACGACAACCACTGCTGCAACAACGACAGCTGCTCCAACTACAACAACGGCAGCAACGACAACAGCAGCTCCAACCACAACCACTGCTGCAACAACGACAGCTGCTCCAACTACAACCACTGCTGCAACTACAACAGCTGCTCCGACCACAACCACTGCTGCAACTACAACAGCTGCTCCAACTACAACCACTGCTGCAACAACTACAGCTGCTCCAACTACAACCACTGCTGCAACAACAACAGCTGCTCCAACCACAACCACTGCTGTAACAACAACGGTGGCAACCACAACAGCTAGTCCAACGACAACCACTCCTGCAACAACGACAGCTGCTCCAACTACAACAACGGCAGCAACAACAACAGCAGCTCCAACCACAACCACTGCTGCAACAACAACGGCAGCAACCACAACAGCTAGTCCAACGACAACCACTGCTGCAACAACGACAGCTGCTCCAACTACAACAACAGCAGCAACGACAACAGTAGCTCCAACCACAACCACTGCAGCAACAACGACAGCTGCTCCAACTACAACCACTGCTGCAACTACAACAGCTGCTCCAACTACAACCACTGCTGCAACAACTACGGCTGCTCAACTCAACCACTTCTGCAACAACAACAGCTGCTCTGACTACAACAACAGCAGCAACGACAATGCTGCTCCAACCACAACCACTGCTGCAACAACAACGGTAGCAACCACAACAGCTAGGCCAACGACAACCACTGCTGCAACAACAACGACAGCTGCTCCAACTACAACAACGGCAGCAACAACAACAGCAGCTCCAACCACAACCACTGCAGCAACAACACGGAACACAGCTGCTCCAACTACAACCACTGCTGCAACTACAACAGCTGCTCCAACTACAACCACTGCTGCTCCAACTACAGCTGCTCCAACTACAACCACAGCTGCAACAACTACAGCTACTCCAACTACAACCACTGCTGCAACTACAACACCTGCTCCGACCACAACCACTGCTGCAACTACAACCACTGCTGTAACAACGACAGCTGCTCCAACTACAACCACTGCTGCAACAACAACAGCTGCTCTGACTACAACCACTGCTGCAACAACGACAGCTGCTCCAACTACAACCACTGCTGCAACTACAACACCTGCTCGGACCACAACCACTGCTGCGACAACAACACCTGCTCCAACTACAACAACGGTAGCAACCACAACAGCTAGTCCAACGACAACCACTGCTGCAACAACGACAGCTGCACCAACTACAACAACGGCAGCAACGACAACAGCAGCTCCAACCACAACCACTGCTGCAACAACAACAGCTGCTCCAACTACAACCACTGCTGCAACTACAACAGCTGCTCCGACCACAACCACTGCTGCAACTACAACAGCTGCTCCAACTACAACCACTGCTGCAACAACTACAGCTGCTCCAACTACAACCACTACTGCAACAACGACAGCTGCTCCAACCACAACCACTGCTGTAACAACAACGGTAGCAACCACAACAGCTAGTCCAACGACAACCACTCCTGCAACAACAACAACAGCTGCTCCAACTACAACAACGGCAGCAACAACAACAGCAGCTCCAACCACAACCACTGCTGCAACAACAACGGCAGCAACCACAACAGCTAGTCCAACGACAACCACTGCTGCAACTACAACAGCTGCTCCGACCACAACCACTGCTGCAACTACAACAGCTGCTCCAACTACAACCACTGCTGCAACAACTACAGCTACTCCAACTACAACCACTGCTGCAACTACAATACCTGCTCCGACCACAACCACTGCTGCAACTACAACCACTGCTGTAACAACGACAGCTGCTCCAACTACAACCACTGCTGCAACAACAACAGCTGCTCTGACTACAACCACTGCTGCAACAACGACAGCTGCTCCAACTACAACCACTGCTGCAACTACAACACCTGCTCCGACCACAACCACTGCTGCGACAACAACACCTGCTCCAACTACAACAACGGTAGCAACCACAACAGCTAGTCCAACGACAACCACTACTGCAACAACGACAGCTGCTCCAACTACAACAACGGCAGCAACGACAACAGCAGCTCCAACCACAACCACTGCTGCAACAACAACAGCTGCTCCAACTACAACCACTGCTGCAACTACAACAGCTGCTCCGACCACAACCACTGCTGCAACTACAACAGCTGCTCCAACTACAACCACTGCTGCAACAACTACAGCTGCTCCAACTACAACCACTGCTGCAACAACAACAGCTGCTCCAACCACAACCACTGCTGTAACAACAACGGTAGCAACCACAACAGCTAGTCCAACGACAACCACTCCTGCAACAACGACAGCTGCTCCAACGACAACAACGGCAGCAACAACAACAGCAGCTCCAACCACAACCACTACTGCAACAACAACGGTAGCAACCACAACAGCTAGTCCAACGACAACCACTGCTGCAACAACGACAGCTGCTCCAACTACAACAACGGCAGCAACGACAACAGCAGCTCCAACCACAACCACTGCTGCAACTACAACAGCTGCTCCAACTACAACCACTGCTGCTCCAACTACAGCTGCTCCAACTACAACCACTTCTGCAACAACAACTGCTCTGACTACAACAACGGCAGCAACGACAACTGCTGCTCCAACCACAACCACTGCTGCAACAACGACAGCTGCTCCAACTACAACAACAGTGGCAACTACAACACCTGCTCTGACTACAACCACTGCTGCAACAACGACAGCTGCTCCAACTACAACCACTGCTGCAACTACAACAGCTGCTCCAACTACAACCACTGCTGCAACAACTACAGCTGCTCCAACTACAACCACTGCTGCAACGACAACAGCTGCTCCAACCACAACCACTGCTGTAACAACAACGGTAGCAACCACAACAGCTAGTCCAACGACAACCACTCCTGCAACAACGACAGCTGCTCCAACTACAACAACGGCAGCAACAACAACAGCAGCTCCAACCACAACCACTGCTGCAACAACAACGGCAGCAACCACAACAGCTAGTCCAACGACAACCACTGCTGCAACAACGACAGCTGCTCCAACTACAACAACGGCAGCAACGACAACAGCAGCTCCAACCACAACCACTGCAGCAACAACTACGGCTGCTCCAACTACAACCACTTCTGCAACAACAACAGCTGCTCTGACTACAACAACAGCAGCAACGACAACTGCTGCTCCAACCACAACCACTGCTGCAACAACAACGGTAGCAACCACAACAGCTAGTCCAACGACAACCACTGCTGCAACAACGACAGCTGCTCCAACTACAACAACGGCAGCAACGACAACAGCAGCTCCAACCACAACCACTGCAGCAACAACGACAGCTGCTCCAACTACAACCACTGCTGCAACTACAACAGCTGCTCCAACTACAACCACTGCTGCTCCAACTACAGCTGCTCCAACTACAACCACTTCTGCAACAACAACTGCTCTGACTACAACAACGGCAGCAACGACAACTGCTGCTCCAACCACAACCACTGCTGCAACAACAACGGCATCAACCACAACAGCTAGTCCAACGACAACCACTGCTGCAACAACGACAGCTGCTCCAACTACAACAACGGCAGCAACGACTACAGCAGCTCCAACCACAACCACTGCAGCAACAACGACAGCTGCTCCAACTACAACCACTGCTGCAACAACTACGGCTGCTCCAACTACAACCACTTCTGCAACAACAACAGCTGCTCTGACTACAACAACAGCAGCAACGACAACTGCTGCTCCAACCACAACCACTGCTGCAACAACAACGGTAGCAACCACAACAGCTAGTCCAACGACAACCACTGCTGCAACAACG